ACCAACAAATCCATGAAAAAGCACAATTTTTATAGCCTTTTGAAGTTTTTCACCACCACCACCAAATAAATTTCTAGCAAGGAAAGGGAAATTTCTGTTACCATGCAAGAGTAAACTTGTCTCCAAAAAGGATTATTGTTCAATTCATGGATCTCTTATCCCAAACAAAACTACTGTTTTGAGGCCTTTTACACATCTAAAAACACATATACATACTGCATGACATAGAATTTTTAATGAGGAGGCTAATGGTAATCCACTCTAAAAAAAATAAATTAACGGTTCAATTATGCTTAAATCCATGTAAATAAGACCATGCTGAAAAATAATTGAAAAATTATACTAATCTCTTTGGAAGTTTGATAAAAATATAACACGTTACCTCCCCTTGACAAAGGGAAGAGTAAACTAGCCTAGCAGAAAATATATAATTACTTTTTCACCCCTTTCTTTGCTTAAAAATTGCATTTATCTTTAATATGAAATGACAAAAACATCCTAGATATACTTAACACTAATCTCATTCCTTTCTTTATCTATTTCTTTCTCTCATCTAATGGTCCCCTTCATCATTTCCCTTCAGTATACCCCTCAACGGCCTCCACCTTTGTCCACCTCTCTTTCTTATCTCACCTTTGGGTGAGAGTTGTGGTTGATGTTGGAAAATAGTTTTATATAGGCATATTTTTTAGCTCAATTTTGAGTGGGCCTCAAACGTCTTTTGGGGTGGGTCCGAATAGGTGATGTGTTCCTTGCCACGTGGCAAGTCACACAGTGAAGACGGAACGTCAAAACCATTTATGAGTAAATGGGAAGTTGACGTCGTTTTCGGATTTAACTTTAATTTTTTAGATTAAATTCATTTGAATTTTTTCAATAAAATATGAAATGACAAAAACATCCTAGATATACTTAACACTAATCTCATTCCTTTCTTTATCTATTTCTTTCTCTCATCTAATGGTCCCCTTCATCATTTCCCTTCAGGATACCCTTCAACGGCCTCAACCTTTGTCCATCTCTCTTTCTTATCTCACCTTTGGGTGAGAGTTGTGGTTGATTCGGTGGCGAATTACGCTTAGGTGGGTTCATGTTATGGTTGATTGAAGTAGTGAGTTGCTGATTGGACGGCAAATTGGTCCTTGAGTGGTGGTGCTTATGGTGACTAAGAGCTCGTTTGGAATGTGGATTGACTTTTTAATTTTTTTGGCTATTTTATCTTGGGGTCAAAAAGTCTCATTTGGGATAAGTTTTTTGATTTTTTTGACTTTTGTGAGAGAAAAATGAAATGATTATAAGTTAGATGTAACATTTTGTTCTATTTAACTAAAATAACTTATTTTGTCTTATATGACTATTTTAGCCCCAAGAGGCACGCCAAACGAACCCTAAGAGAAGAAAGGAGGAAAAGAATAGAGATGGAGGCTGGTGGCCGTCACCGAAGGTTGATGGTTGCTAGTTTTATGGGTGGAGAGAGTTTGTTCGGTTTCAAGTATATAATATCCAAATATATAATATAAGCAAAAATGTTGTTAGTTCATTGAGTCTCAAAGTTATAACTCTATTTTTATAAATTTTTGGAGAAAAAAATTATAAAAATACACATGTCAATAAAGTATTGATCATTTGATCAATATAGTAATATATTTAAACATTTAAACTTAACTCTTATGAAACATTTTATATGGAAATCAAATCAAATTTTTTTATATTTCAAAATATCAAAATCATATCATTTATTGATCAATAAAGTAATATATTCCCTAAAATCATATGAAAATACACGTTTAAATTTAATAATATTATATTATAATATTATAAGCTCTTTAGTTATATTAATAGTTCTTTCTTATTTATCATTATCTTATTTTCATTTAATTAATCAATGTGGTAATTTTTTTAGTTTTGTTTAATTATAATCATCAATCTCTAATAAACAATAACCTGACTATAATTTTTGTAATAAGCGTACATGTTTTGTAATTATCACTTTATTTTTTATCGACAAATTAAACTATAATTATTATTTGTGAGTGATAACTTTTCCAAATCTATTATTATCTATTAATTAACGCAAAATAACTTTTTGTCCAAAATATTTTAAGGGCTTCAAAATATTAATTTCAATTTATAAAAATTAAAAAAATACATGTCGCATAAAATTATTAACCCATCCAAACAAATCTAATTTAATTTTTTTAAAAAATAGATAAAAAAGTTTATATGTAAGCCAAATCTAATTTAAGCAATAATTAATAGATTTTGGAGTTCAAATTTAAAGTTCACGAAGAATATGAGAAAAACAGTTTTTTTTTTTTTTTTGTATAAATATTCTATGACATAAATGAAATTTTTAGAAGAAAAACATTCTAGAAAAAATTCATAAATGGGTAATATACATTTTCTTGATTAAATTTTAGTAATTAAATTTGGAATCTTTAAAAAGAATGTTCAAAATAAAATTTTAATGATTTATACTGACAATATTTGATATCGTGCTTTAAATGACACTTCATATATATCATGTGCAACATATCAAATGATGTAATTAATACCATGTAAAATGTCACATCACATAATATCTAAATATGATAATTCTAATATTACTCAATTTAAAAATATATATAAAAAAAATGTGAATTATCCAAATTCAATATTTTATATACAAATATAAGTAAGTAAGTTTAAAGGTTTAGCAAAATGGTAATGACAAGGCAAAAGTAACTAACAAAGAGAAGTTAAGATGTCTAGTAAGAGAAATGCCGGATGATTAGGGTCGTGAAACTAGTGAGACAGGTGAGAGAGAAGGACAAAAAAATGGCCCAATGCCAGGTGCCAAACCTAACGAGTGTGAGAAAATCTAGAAGTTGTATCTGGTAGGTAAATACTTAATTCAGAAAGGGCAAGAGGATAAGAGTCACTGGTAGTTTCATTATTTTTTATTTTCATTTTGTTATTCAATTTTTTGATTTAAACAAAAAAATAAAAATTGACATTTGATTTTTTGGGGATCAATTCTGGCATTCGATTTAAAAAATTTTGCTATACTGAGTTTCACAAAAGAAGCAAAAAAAAAAAAAAGTTATATATATACACATAGTTTACGATATCATCATATGAATCTAATATGTTGCAAAATAAAATTACGAAACTCTTAGAAAATAATAATATATTTATATTTTATCATAGGTGTAATTTTTGTTTCTAAAAATAAAAATAAAAATAGTTTAATTTTATAATTTATCATATTTTTTATTTAATTTTTACGAATTAGATTATGATTCATGTATTTGTTATTTAGAAGAAGAAAAAAAAACATAAGTGAAATTGTTATAAAAAAAAATAGTTAAAATTTAAGGAGTATTTACACATAACTCTTAATTTATAAATTTATACTCTATTAAGTCCTAACTAAGATTTTTTGGACCTTCAAGTCCCATTAAATTTTTAATAATCGAAATTGTCTTTCAAACAATGATTATTTATCATTTATGATTATCTATAAAAAATAATAATAATTTGACATTTATTTTGATTTTCAAAACTTTAAAACATCAAATTTCAAATTAAAAAAAATTTTAAAAACTTATGTGCAAAAGAAAAAAAAAAATTTTAAAAATTGAAAAAGCTGAAGTATTTTTTTGTGCAAAACTTTGTGTTTATAAAGGAGCATGATGATAGAATATTGATGTGCAAAATTGGAGGAAAAAAAAAACTTCAAAAATGAAAAAACTGATGCTGTTCTCAGTTTTAAAATTGGAAAAAACTGTTAATGCTCTCGGTTTTATTGAATAGTTGAATTAAGGTTGTTTGGGATGATCTAAATAAGTGCACTTTTTGACTTTTTATGAAATATGAATTGAGTTTGAAGTGATGTGGTAGAGAGGTGATGTGATTTAAATAAGATGATGTGACTTCAATAGGATAATAACTTTTTGACTTTTTAGCTTTTTTGTGTTACGCCAAACTTAATCTCATACTCTGTTTTTTTTTTTCATCAGTTAGTGAAATAATTATTTAAAATATTACTATACAAAATTGATAATGTTCTTAATTTTAAAAATTGAAAAAAACTAACAAACTTGGTTTAGCTTTTTTGGCTATTTTAGCCTAGACTAAAAAACTTGATTTGGAAAAGACTTTTTGACTTTTTTTGTGAAAGAAAAGTATAATGATTATGAATTGGATGTGATGTTTTGTTTGTTGTGGCTAAAATAGCCTATTTTATTTTGTGGCTATTTTAGCTACAAACCAACTTGCTAAACAATGCTTAAATAAGACTTATTGGTTCAAAAAATTTTAAATAAAACCTAAACTACCATAACATTTGTAAATAAGACTTTTAAATAATTAACTCAAAATTTAATTAAATCTATTTTTTTATTGTTTAATTTTAAAATTAATTACTAATTATTTATTTAAAACCGTGCATATCATGAGTATTAGGCTAATACATAGAATATGGATATTTAAATATAGGTAATGATTGGATACAAGGATAAAAAAGGGTAAAATTGACATTTTTTTATAAAAATAATGACATCATCCATTGGCCTAATGAACACCAAACGTAATAAGGTTAAATTGATATGTAATTTATACCTTACGGGAAATCAGTATAATTATATTAAAATTGAGATTATGACGATTTCTTCGTACCTCAGGGGAGGTCAATGCAATTTATCAAAAAATAAAAATAGCATATACTATAGTTTCTTCAGGTGTTAGTAAAAGAGTGACAAGTGTATCATGCACTGAAGAGAGACAGAGAGAAGAGAAAGAGGAAAAACTAATGGCTTGTGGGGGTACCCCGATTCTAAATTTCCAGTAATGCTGTATCATCATGTATGCATCATCATCAGAAGTGGTCCAAATTCAAAAGTTGATCCCACCTGGGATTAAAACCGCGTTTAAACAGGGATTTGGAACACCCAAAGTTGATCCCACCTGGGATTAAAACCGCGTTTAAACAGGGATTTGGAACACCCCCACCCACCTACCAAAACTCTCTTGATCTAAATTGCTATGTTTGTTTCTAGTGATCTTTCATTTTCTTAGTATTCAATCACACATGTTCAGAAAAAATATATATATAATAATGAAAAAAATCAATGAATGGTGAACTCTAATTCGTCACAGCAATATACTGAACTGTAACGCACAAGGGGTCACAGAGATTAGTCTATCCAAACAGAGATTTGTATGTATGTCCCACCATGAAATTAAACTATTGAGACATTTTGAAACTACTTGGAAGCTCGCTTACTCTCATATACTACATTACCAAGGTTACCACGTTGTGTTCATACTTGCAATGACTTTTGTTAGCATGTCAGCATCTATATATACGTGCCTGGATATAACTCAACTCCCTCAATCTTGCACAAGTTTTCACTACTTTGCATATATATATATATGATATGAAAGAGTCTAGCAACAGTCATGGTAGCAGCAGCAGCAGCAGTGGTGGTGGTGCCAGTTCGATATACAGGGGAGTTCGTAAACGGAAATGGGGGAAATGGGTGTCGGAAATACGCGAGCCTGGCAAGAAAACTCGAATTTGGCTAGGAAGTTTTGAGACACCCGAAATGGCTGCTACAGCATATGATGCAGCCGCATTGCACCTCAGGGGACATGGTGCACGACTAAATTTTCCTGAGTTGGCTGATAGACTCCCGCATCCAGCAAGCTCAAGTCCTGATGACATACGCTTAGCCGCTCAGCAGGCAGCTGCTTTGGGCCTTAGAAAGCCCGCCGGAGAGCCTCCTGATGTGAGCGGCGCTAGCTCTTCGAATCCTGCTCCAATCACCACCAGACTCTCCCCAAGCCAAATTCAGGCCATCAATGACTCCACATTGGACTCGCCAATGTGGACGGAGTTGGCTGGAGCGCTCATGTCAGAAGAGCATGCAGTCTATTACAATGATGTTGAGATGGATGAGTGGGATGAAATACCTGATGATTCCCTTTGGGACCCTTGATTCTAATTCCTAAAATAACATTCGTGCGTAGGTGAATAGGTTATAGACACCTAGACAAAAAAGAAAAATACATTGTGAACTGAATTTCAATCTAAAAGTGATTGACTTGGCCACTCTTGATTGGGAGCTGCTTGAGTGAGCCCATCAACTAGCAATTATTAGTTGCCATCACAGCCACTTTTAGAGGGACCTTGGTGTGACTAGCTAGCATTGCTCAAAAAATAACCAAAATAAATCAAAAGAAATTACTATTAGGGGTTTGTTAAAAGTTTGCTATAATTAACTAATATGGGCTTTCAAACTACATTAATTATTAATTGCTTTGAGTGCGTGCGAGTGAGGGTATGCATGATTGTGTGTGGTTTTTTTTTCTTTTTTTTACATGCTTCGAATGGATTTAACTTGTGTATTAGAAGGTTCCTAATTAACAAGGAATGACTTGGATCTTTGACAGCTCATTGGAATGTTTGTAATTTATTTTCCATATTGTTGTATGTAGAGAGGATCATTATATCTTAATAAAGTCATTTTACATACTTCTCTATTTTTCTGATTTATTTTTAATTATTTTTTGACTTTATTTACTTATTTGTCTACTAGAAGTGAATCTTAAGTGCATCTGCTTCAATTCAAATATTGTCTTTTTTTAATTTTATGATTGTTGATGTAGTTTTTTTATGCTCACGGACGACCAACCCCCTGTCAAAGAAAGAATTACCGAAAAGGGGGCATCGGTGCGATGCCGGCAAAACCCCTTCAATTTACCTTTCATATTGTTGTCTATGTAAAGGACATGGTTATATCTTATTAGAGTCATTTTAAATACTTCCCTACTTCTCACTTATATCTTCCTCTTTTTTTAGACTTCTATTTCACTTATTTGTCTACCAGAAGTGAATCCTAAATGCATATACTTTTATTTCAAATATTATTTTATTCACTTTATGATTGTTGATTTAGTTTTTTTTTATGCTCACTGATGACGTCAAATAAACAACTTTCGAAAGCGGGCCATCGGTGTGATGCCGACCAAAACTCCTCTGATGCTTATGTCAGGATAATCTCTGTAGTGAAATAACTTTAACAGTTACAAGAGTTAGGCAATGTCGTATACCTTCTCAAGGTGGAGCAACAAATTGCCAGTGCAAACTTTACAAATTCCTAGAACAATAACTCATACAGATCAAACTTTACAAATAACTAGAGCAATAAACCTCTTTAAGGCTCAACCATTCTATAAATAAATAGAAGTTAGGTAGATTTGTAGACTTAGCTGATTTGAGGTGGAAATTTGCATGTCCAGAATGCCCCCGATGTTTTTTGCACTACTTGAAAGGCATGGTGGGCAGGGCAGCCACCGGACCTGTCAGCTTCAGGCTTCCAAACTTCATTCAAATTTTACAGGGTTCACACTTCAGCTTCCTGCGGTAGAAATCAAACAATTTTAACAAATAAATTGATAACAGAGCTGCAACAATTATCCACAAATAAATCACATGTTGCTCTTCATCTCATTATTGTTACATATCCAACACACATGTTTCACGTAAGTACAAGTTTTTTGGGTCTAGATAAATCTACTTCATCCAGTAGCAGTCTATTTGTAGGAATTTTTATTTTTATTTTTTTCCTTTCTTTTTTATAACTTAAATTCTAGGAAATCAAAACAAAAATATTTTGCAGGCCTCCCAGAAGAATCCCAGTGGAAAGAAATAAAAGGGTGGGTGGGTAAAATATGTCTTTTATGAAGCAACCATTAGCCAACAGCTGGATTTGAAGGACTTGTCCACTAGGAGGATTAAAATAAAAATAAAATAAAAATCTCAACCAACTTTCAGACTTTGATAAAAAAGCAGGTGAACCATAATATAATGTCATTAGAAATATCCACTCCAAATCAGGAAGCATTCAAATGATAACAAGGAAAGGAAGAAACTGTTGTACCTCTTAAGTTGTTGAAGCTCTGGCTAATGGGAAACAGAGGCCAACCATGGTCCCCTTATCCACCGAGTAAAACTGCTTTTAGAACCACATCTTCATGCCAAACCATCAGAAGCAAAATTGTATCTTCTTTCCAACCCTATTACATTCAGATGCCCCGGATTTGATCTTCAGAAACCATTTTATGCCTTTCATCATAGAGAGGAGAGTTCCTCACTATCCAATCACTCATATCAACTACACATTCCATCACTACTTCTTTAGTCACTCTCTTGAGTTTTTAAAGGCCCGTCATTTGTATTCAGTATTGCATTCCACATCCAGTTGAGAAGATCAGTCATGTCATGGCTTTGCTTCGGACATTATGACAATGCCCGGTGGACTCTGGTTTCTTTAGGTCATCCATAAATTTTACAAGTACCAACTTGAATTTCTATTGGTAATGTAAAAAGGACCACATTTGTGGGTTCATTTCTACGATTTGTATTCACTTTTATTGGTAAGTTACCAGTTCAAACTGAAACAGAACATAAAGCACCCTTTTTTTATTTCTTTTGTGTAAGTGAACAGAACATAAAGTACCCTTTTGTCTGTAATGAACAAATGACATTAGTTACCGTTTGCAATTGCTGAAAATCTATATTTAGCTCCCTCAAAGCAGAAGGTGCAATTATAAAGTCAGTGGCAGCCTAATTGATATAACAACAGATATTGGCAACAATAATCACCAAGATTCCAATCCCAGTGAAGCACAGTGATGAGTTCACAAGCCATTCTCTTCATGCAAATAAACTACCGACTCATTCATTGGATTATCAGTGGGCACTTCTTGGTGACTACTAACTAGAATTTAAATTACAGCTAAACAAAAGCCACAATATGCAAATCACAAGCCACCATGCTTGCTACTCTATGGGTTGCTTTGTGCTAACATATAATATAAGAGACCAAGCAAGCTCCCTAGCATGGCTTACTTGAATCAGTTTCTTTTCAGCAATGATATTATGGTGCAGCCTGACCACACTCGTTGACAACCTAGATGTGTCTGTGCAACAAATGCAAATGCAATGAGGACTTGAACTCGATAAGGAAAATTTGAGGGAAAATCCACTTGATTTAAGTGTGTCTGCAAAACTGGACGTAAAAACTTCAAACATATCATTGAAGAAGTAACAATTGGGATAGACAAGCAGAGAAAACTAGTCAGCAATCACATAAGTCTCAAGTCTCAGCATGCAAACACGAGTATAATTGTTCTGGTAGCCTGAAATCAAACATGTATCAAAGCAGATAAATTGGGATATACCAGGATGGCAGCTCAGTCATTCTTTTTTATTTTTCAAATAAAGATGTAGTTAAAAAACAGGGGAACCTGGCATAACTGCATAAGTTACTAAGAAAAACAATCCTACACCAGCTAACATTACCAAATCTCACCCACAACACAGACAAAACAGTAAGTGAAGAACTTGCTCAACCCTGAACAAAAAGCAAACAACTTGTGTCAACAATTCACTGCAAATCTCTTTGGCCCCGTTTGATTGCCAGATTAATTTTGGGGGGAGGGATTGGATACCATGAAACTGTGGTCAGGTTTAGAGAGGATAAGTCGTAGATGGATTATGTATGTAGATAGGATTAGTTATACTATGTTTTCTTAGGGTGGGATAAATGTATGGGATAATAAAGAGGATTATTTTTTGACAGTTGGATGAAGGGGGAGAACAATCCGAACAATAACTGGGGGACAGCTATTAGTTATTCCCCCATTTATTTGAATTTAAAAATTGTAAGCATTTATCCTTCACAAAATTCACCTATTCTCATCTTCCCAGATACACTCAAGAAAACAAGAGGAACATCATCTTAAGCTCCCAGACAGCAAAAAGCTGAAAACATTTTTTTGGCATTACTTACCAGAAACCAGACTAGATAAAACCAAATTAGAGTCATTGCATTATCAATCAGTAAAGAATGTTCTTACTAGAACAGGGGTGCAAATTGAGAGAATTTCTAACATACAGAAAGTCAGGGGGAAAATGAAAATGCTTCACAAATTAACTTCTTAGAAATAGATGCTATTAAGCCTCATTGCTCATTCAAAAATCTAGCAGTGAACAATCTCACTTCTTTTGTTGGAACCTCTCCTATGTTCTAGTTCTAGGTCTACATAGCATGAAACAGAACATTGAAAAAAAATAGACAGAAAAAGAACGAAAAAAAAATGTCACGGATTCTCACAATCAATTAACTCTCCACCTAGAGAACCTGACTCTGATCTCAACCTAGAGAACTTGCGCTTTAAATCTCCAGCTAATTGTGTCCGGCCAGACCTGTAAAGCTGCTTCATAATTTTTATATAATCCGGAAAGAATGGAATGAGACCCTTATCCATCATTTCAATAAGAATGTTTCCAGCAGTGATAAGATTTCCATTTCTGTGATGAAGTCTTGCAAGTAAACTGTAAATCATATTGCCTGAGTCCTTATACTTGACACCTGAATCTACAACATAATTGTATGCCTTGTCATATTGCCTTGAATGGAAAAAACCCTTGATAAAGGCAGCATGTGTTGTAAGCCGAGGTTCAAGACCCATAGACACCATTTGATCAAAAAATTGAATTGCAGCATCCAACTGGCCAAGCCTACATGAGAAATAGATTAATATTTCAAAGGTTATTGCATCAGGAGGACAACCCTTCTTTTTCATTTCTTCAAGCACACCGCAAGCTTCAGCTATTCTATCGTGCTTGCATAAAGCACTAAGCAGATAGTTGTAAGTTTTGGCATCTGGGTCGCAACTAAATTGTCTCATCTCTTCAAGCAGGTCACATGCTTCACTAAAACAGCATCTCCGACACTTTTCGAGAATTAAAATACTGTAGTAAGACGCCTTTTTCTCCGTTATTTCTATGACAAATTTAGCCATTTCAAATAAGTCCAGCGTAGAAAGCATCGTAAGCAACCCACAAATGCCAGAACCACGACATGAGCCCCCAGCTTCATGTAACAGCTCTACCACTCTTCTTATAGATTTCATGATTGAATCATTGCTCGAACTCAAAACGGGTAGAAATCCAAAAGCCTTCTCGTTAAGGCAAATACAATCCGATCTAAACTCCCTCAACAAGCAAAGCATCGTCTCATAATCATCCAACCAACCACAGTTATCAATAATTAAACTACAAACATCAGAATTCTTGTACAGACTTGGATTCCTATCTCGAACCCAAACAAAGAAACGCAAAGCCGATATTCTTTCACAATTCAAAAAACGAAAAATCCCAATTAAGGAATCAACCGAAAGACCTAAACCCATCAAATTTAACTTCAACTCCAAGTCATCCTCACCACTCCTAATGAGCTCAATAATTCCTGAAATTTGCTTTGCATTCACATTTGAGCCAGACTTACCAATAGCTATGTTCTCAGATTCACTGGTTTGATCAGAGGATGACACTGAAAGTAATCGAAATTGCCCATGAAGACTAAAGCTTGGGTGGTCAAAACTGTGACCAATAGACCTATAACTAGCTAAAGAAATCAAAGATTGACGAAATGGGGATTTTACAGAGAAAAATGAAGATGACCCAGTTGAAGAAATCGAAGAATAAAGAGGATGTGAATTGGGTTGTTGATGAAAATGTAAGGTGGTGGTTGGAGGGGTAGGAATGTGAGGGAGACTAGGGTTTAGGGTTTTGGGAAAGAGAGAAAGAGAAGTAAATGGGTGAGAATGAGAGAAGAGAGAGGAGAGGTAATTAGGGTTTGAGAAATACCTTATTATTAGCTTGTTCTTGGAGATTTCCATCTCATGTTCTCTTCTTCTTCTTCTTCTTCTTCCTCTTCTTGTTTAGGGTTTTGTTTGCAGAGTAAGGGCGATTCGACCCAAGCTTGTCTCCAGTCAGAGCAAGGCTACTTACTTTTTGTACCCTTTTAACTCTAATATTAAAGGAAAATGATTGATTGTCATAATTTTTGTGGTTATAATAGCTTAAAATTATTAAAACGATATTGTTTATCGTTTTGGGTATAAAATATATCAAAACGAAATTATTTTGACAGTTTTAAACTATTATGGCCATAAAAATTATAACCTTCTAACATTGTTGAATATTAAATTTAAGTTTTAAAAAATTAATTCAATATTTAATAAAATTTTAACTTCTAATTTGCAACCAAAAAAAAAGAACCAAAATGACACAACTTGATAGTTTAGATTGTTCCCTCCAGTCAACATCTGGGCTAGTAAGAAACTATCCTCTTTATAAAATTTGTTCTTAAAAAAATTTTGAAAGTTAGAATTTAAACATACAACACAATTGTTTTCAATTCATTACCAACTTTTTCGGTAATAATATAAAATTTTAAAAGACTCAAAACAATTGTTTAAAATAGACTATTTTGATAAAAGAGTGAAAAACTCATAGGATTGTTTTTCAAGGAGATAAAAGTTAAAATAATTAAAATTTTAATATACTTTTTATATATTTTTCATACATGTTTTACGATACTAATGACTATAAACTCACACCAACCAATTAATTTGAAATCCAAATCGAATTTTTTTTTTGAGAGGTACTAGGAAGGAATTGAAATGTTGAAATCAAACCTTCTACTTGCTCTATCCCATTTTATTTGTCCATTTTTTCATTTTAATCCGTTCCAAAATATTTGTCCACTCTCTTTTTTGAGATATTAAATTTTGGTAGATTTTTTAATTTATCCCTTATAAATCATTATAAACACATTTTAAAATTCAAAAAAAAAGGATATTGGTAGGAAAAACATTTCAAAATTTAAATTAAAAGATAGTGATTGTATCTCTCTATAAATTGGATTTTTTTTATAATAGACAAATAAATTAGGATGGAAGAAGTATTAATGTCCACATCTCTAGCCACTCAAATTAAAGTTATTAAATTCAATCCAAAAAAAATTTGGAAAAGTTACTAATAAATCCTAAATGTTGAAATTGTGCTCCATTTAGTCTCAACTTTTTTCCTTTTGATCTATTTGGTCCTTTCTATTGTTGAATGACGTAAATACCATGGTCTATTTTCTGAACGCATGAATAGGTGATGGCGTGGTGTGGCACAGCCAAATGTTGGTGTGTTTCCCAAATTGGTATTTGCCACATGTCACATTCAGGGTGGTCGCTGGGTGCCACAACATTGGAAAGTTCACTAAGGCTTTTTGTGTTTTTTTACTTTGGGGGGCATGCATTCCATGTGACACACATAACCCTATTGACAAAACCCCCTATTGGTTATGGATTAGGCAAGGTTTGAAATCCCTAATTTCTGGCAATTTCGTTTGAATTGTCTCGAAGAATTGAAAGATTATGATCGTTTGTATGTGTGACATTGGAAGGTGATTAGCGGCACTTCAACATAATGATAGTTGAAGGAAGTTCGCAAAGGGAATGAGAGAGACGTTGAAGGACATGTTTAGATTTGTCGGCCGCTGGAAGGATGGGTGGGGAAGGTATGTGACACCACTGTTTTTTGTTATTTCCGTGGTCGATATGTTCTATGTATGGTTGAAACATTAGGTGGTTGTGGTTTGATGATATTTGTTTGATGTTTCGTAACAGATGAGTATTGATTGAAAAATGTCAATGGCATTATGTGTATGTGTGTGTGTGTATGTATATTGCAACTTATTACCGTATTGTATGTATTATGGTAGGGTGTAGGTTTCACATATTTGAACCATGTGTGATGGGTGTGACTGTTATTTATTGGGTTAGTATATTTTGGGTCACTGTATGTTGTCGGTGAATTGGGTTTTGAGATGTGCATTAAGATAGTGTTACATTCTTATCATGTTTCAATGTGATTCGTAGTAGGGGGTGTAGACACCCCATTTTTGACCGTCCTCAAGACTTGGACGTCACCGTTTGAACACTCGGTGATCATCCATGTTCGTGATCGTTTTGAGTTCCTGGAGGTCTCGGCTACGCGCCTTGCCTCAGGATCTCTCAACTCGGTTGTCTTGTGCTTGGTTGGACCAAACACTTGTTGATTTTTGCTTTGGAAGGTAGAGAATTGGCTTCTTGGCCATCCCCACACCTCACGCCTCACCGGCCATGGCTTGAGGCCACTAGCCGTGTCTTCTTGCCACCGGCCATTGGTGATGGCCGGTTGGCACTTTGTGTGGTCGGCCGACCATTTATTTGGCCGATAGACTCCTTTTCTGGCCGGTACCACCTTTTTACCTTTTTCAGGCATTATGCATGCCAGTTGTGCCAGCTGGAGTGCACGGATTTGTCCTCCATACAGGTGTATGGAGGAATTGCACCCTTTGTACCCTTTTGGTCCTAGCTTCCTCAAAAAGCTTGGACCTTTTGCTTATGCTTCTTGAGGAAGCTTGACCCTTTGTCTTAGCTTCCTCAAGAAGCTTGGACCTTTGGGTTAGCTTCCTTGAGAAGCTTGACCCCCTTGACCCTTTTGTTTAGCTTTCCTTAGAAGCTTTAAGCCTTCATCTTGCTCTATATAAGAGGACTTTCCTCTTCTTTTGAAGAGGTTCAGCAAAACCAGAGATAATACATATATATCTGATATATAGACCACTCTCTCTCTATATCCCCCTCTCTCTCTTCATTTGTGTGTGTTTGAGAGTTCAAAAGTGTGTTTTGTTCTTAGTTTTGCACTAGGACACTAAGTATTACACCATACTTCGGTTATTGAGGTGTTGAGAGATTGTTCTTGGAGGTTTTGGGTTGACTTTGATCAGAAAAAGGGGCTAGACTTGCTGTTCTTCAAGTGTTCTTCAAGGGTGAGTATAGTTGCTTTACATTCCCCATTCTTGCACTAGTTTTTAACCTATCTTGCATACTGATTTAAGCTTTGTGTATAACTGAAAAAAGTCTTGTATTTTCATGCTTAAGATCTTTCATTAAGGTCTCTTTTGTGTTTGGGGTCGACCTCCCCCTCTTAGGCCTTGTTTGGCCCCTTTTGTGCCTTCTTTTGTTGAGCTTTGGAACCTTTTGCGTATTGGCCTTCTCACCACTAAAATACAGTGGATTTTCAGTGGTGGTGAAGGGGTCTTGAAGTCTTGCATAGGGGAGGGACACCCCTCTCCCTTGATCTCTTATTTGTTCATTTTTTTTGCTCACAAGGGTAGCATGCATGCTTAGTTGTTTTTGGCTCCATTTTAGAGGTTTTTGGATGTTATTTGGTCATATTATATCACTGTTTTTGGTCAGATTAATGATCCATTTCATGCATTATATGCTTGCCTTATAATCTCATGTTTTGGTCTAATATGTATTATGTTATGAGATGACATTCTAGCATGATTTTGGTTTGATTCCAAGAAGGTTTTAGCATTATTTTGCCATGCTTAAGGTCTGTTGGGTACTGATTTGGCCATGCTTGCCATGATTTGTACAGCCTCCATGCATTTTGGCTTGTGAGCCTTGGGTGTGTGAGTTATAAGCATGCTTTAATTGGACTATTTCAGTGATTTGGAGTCACTTATTATGCCATTTCAGTTCATGTTTTATGCTTACATAATTGCATTTGTTACCCTTTCAATGCCTTGAAGAGATATGGTCTTATGCTCCATGTTTGGGGCTTTTGTACATGCCTATGTGTTTGAGGCTTTAGGCTGCCATATCAGAGGTTTTTGGGGCTCATTTTTGCATGATAAAACTCTGTTTTGCATTGAAAAATCCATGCCATGTTTGCTTGGGGTACGTGTTGCGTAATGCTTTCTTTGTGGCCTTGAATGTCTTCTATCTCGCACCCATTCCCTAGCATGTTTTGGCATCATCCTTCGCATGCTTTTCAGAGTTTAACATGAGTGCTTAATGTCCATTTTTGTCACCTTTGAATGTTCTTGAGAGTTGCATTTCATGCCTTAGTCTTAGGCCCTTCGGTTGGCATGTTTATTTTGCATGATTGGCACCATTATTTTAGTATTCTTGGCCACTATTTTGGGATGGGCTGAGGCCTTCCCATCTCGGTTTAAGTCCATCTTTGTATATAATCGCATGTTTGATGTGTTGCATTGCTTTGGTATCAGGCTTGCATTGTATCATGTTTGCACATTTGCATATTGTTTAGCTAGTTGCATTTCATATCCTAGCTTGCATGATAGATTGCATGGCACTGCATCTTGCATGTTTGGCACATTGCATTTAGCATGTTCATTACCTTAGTCCCATATGGCATACTTGAGCTACTTCACATGTTTGAGCCATGTTGCATACATGCATTACATTTTGCTTGGTTTGGGGTGTCAAACCAAGCAAGAGGGGTGAGGCGTGTTCGTAGTCCAAGTGACGAAACACGTCTTAACCCTCGGTCGCCGATTCCCTTGATCTCAACATGATAGGGCATGAGGCATTCATTTGTTTTGTCGCATGCATTTACATTGATTTGCAAGCTTGGTCCCTTTGGTCATCATGTATCGAAATGCGTGATTAGTGGCCCGAGGACCACGGGCCACACTCCCTTAAGTCCATAGCATGATTGGGAGAGTGACCATGCACACATTGCTTTGAAATTTCCATACCATGCACTGTCTGTCCTCTGTTGCTGTCAAAATAGGGTTCTGCAGGAAGGAATGGCCGGCCGGCCACTTACAGTGCCGATCGGCTACCAAAGTCCAGCCGGTGGTTCAATTTTTGGCCGATGGCCACATTCTCATAGCCGGTAATGCTCTATCATGGCCGGTGGCATCCCACAACACTCAGGGAGTTATTTAGAAGGGTCCTGGAAACTTTCATAATTTTCAGAGGAGTAAGGCAGTGTAAACAGAGGCAACAGTGGCATGGCACCGGGTTTCCGAGCAAGGCGAGTC